GTAATTAACAAGACTTCTATGTTTTATGTTCAACATTATGTTTTATTTAAATTTTTTATAAATTTAATTAATTAGCTTGTTTCAAAATCTTTTGATTAAAATTAACAAATTGAAATTAATGAAGGTTAATTTGAATGGTAAGCAGCTCGATATCATTTAAGAAAAATTTTGAATTCAAGTTTTGTATATATAAAAAATCTTCCATAACTCATCTACCGCATTTAGGTGTGTAACTCAAGTCGAATTCGAATTAAATTAGATGAAATACTAAAAAAAAAAAAAAAAGAATTAACAAATTAAAACATTAAATTTCATTTAAAAATATACTTTAGAACTAAAAAGTCTTAATCTTACATTCTAAAAAAGAACACATCTTATTACATTTTCAACAAAATTATGACTTTTAAACTTTTAAATTATTTCACGTCGCAAAGTTATCGTAAACTATCAAATGTTTGGATAGAAAATGAGATTGAGACATTTAAATTGAAAAAATAATTTAAAAATTAGTGTAAAAACCAAATTTGCTTGATTATAAAAAAAAATTGACTCTTAAAAATTAAAATTACACGTAACCTAAACTAAACAAATGAAAAATATAATTAAGTATATAATTTATTTTTATAAGGAATATTTTTCCTCCATTAATACTCTCTTTCATTTAACTGATTTACCTTTTCTCTATACTTCATTTATTTGTAATAACAACCATAATAATAATATAATGTTTGAAAAGATTCTGGTTTTATTTGAGAAATGACACTTTTATAGAAATAATAAACACTGGCAGCTCAAAAGTATGAAAATATATAGTTGAGAATTTTTGTCTAATCTGTAAAAGCAATTGTTGATTTATTTTTCTACTTATCATGTAATGGAGAAAATAAAAAACTAAACATGTAAACAGTATTGTGCATATTAATGGCTTGAAATGATCCTTTATGAAGATATTTGTGAGGAGAGCATGTACACATGGTACAACTCAACTTGTTGATTAAAAGAGGAAATGAAGGTGTTAACGTTGCATTGCCACACAAACCAAAAAATTAAAAGCATCATGTCAATTAATTATGCCCCATAAAAATGAGTGGGGACCTTCTCATCTTCTTTGCCAGATCTTCAACTAATTGGAGCCTTTAGAAAGCTTCACTCATTTTCCCTGAAAGTGACAATGGGGAAAATCACTATCGGGACCCCATTCAACCCCTCCCTCATTCGTCACAAAGATATTATTGCCCTTTTCTTAAGTCACTGGTAAACAAAGCTTCGTTCATTGATCCCTAATTTACTTTTGTTTTTTCTCCCCCTTTTCTCAATTATATTTGCTAAAAGAATAATCACTATACATAAATATGTATGTTATTTATGTTATTTTATGTTATTTATGTTACTAATTAAAACAAAATAAAATTAATTTTAATATTATGTTATTTTATTTTGTCATAACTATTTTATCAGACAATATCTTATAATTATTTATGTTTACTCTTCATGTACAGTAGACAACATCTGTGAAGGTCAAAGATGACGCTGGGTCACAGAAATCATGTTTTGCATGTAAATTGCTTTTGATGTGAAGGAATATGGCAATGGGTAAACCATTAATTGCATTGCATCTTTCTAGACTTTTCCCGCATTGGCTAAATTGTGTTTCATTTTATTTAATTAGAGTGGACTCAAATATTCGGAGCTTTTTTTATATTATAAAAAAATAAAAATAAATTACTAAAATATAATTTTTTGAAAAAAAATATAAAAACATAAAAATTACTAATGATATTTTTTCACTTTAAAATTTATTTATTAATTTTTCAAAAATTGCCATGGATAATTTTTTATTATTGTTAAAAAAATTACTATTAACAAATTATTTTTTTATAATTTTTAATATATTTAAAATATTGATATTAACGATTTTTAGAATTTCATAATTTTTTGTTATTTTTTCGGTATCTACGTCAAACTTTATATTTCTATAAATTTTTTTAAAATACTATATTTTAGTATGTATAATTTTTAAATCTCATATATATATAAAAAATAAACCTGGATCGACCAAATTGCAGGATTTCAGCTTATTTTATTGGTTCACTTATTGTAAATGTATAAATGAAAGTTTTCAATTACAGTGAGACAAAAAAAGAAAAAAAAATAGAATATTTAAATTATTAAAATTTTGGTAGACACTTTTACACTTTTTTTTAATTTAATAATTGATATAGGTATAAAATAGTTTTTGTATATTTATATTTTAATTTAATTTATTTTTATTTTTATTAATTTAAATACTATTTTATTTTTAGTTATTTTTATTCAATCTGTTTCTATTTTATTTCTTTCATCTCAAAGTTCAGAATCAATTAAGACTTAATTATATTTTTTTATTTCATTGATAAAGATAAAATAAAGAATTTTTTATTTTTAAAATTTTGTAAATGATTAATTTTTTATTTCAGAAATTAAATAAATTTACTTTTATCACCATTTTTAATTAAAAACCTCAATTTTTTACTTTTATTTAAATCTTCACTAATTGAATTGACTAAATTGTTTTAATTATTTTACCTTAAATATTTGAAACAGTAAATTTTATTTAAAATAAAAAAGCATCTCAAAAGTTTATCTTTAAACCTCAAAGCTGACATTTTATAAAATTCTTTTGTTAAATTTTATACTAAAACTTCAACTTCTAAACTTAAAGAAAAAAGGAAAAATCAAAATCCATTTTACATCTCTAAATATTTAGATACAAATAATAATTTAAAATTTGTATAAAAAATTATAATAAAACCAAAATTGCTGAATTTTTTACCAAAGAAAACTTAATTGAGGGTAATTAACCTCATAAATACAAATTTAAAAATAAATTATCAAAACATATAAAATTAAAACAATTTACTTGTTTAAGATACATAAAATCGTAAGATGAAAATGTGAAACTAATTTTGCGCTTTAAACTAATGAAACTAAAAATAAAACAATAATTAAAAAGCAAGTTTCATGGTCAGTCTTACAATACTTAAAAATAATAATATTTCTTTGGTTAAAGTAACGGAACTTAATTATCTTTTATTATTTTTTAAAATAAGTAATAATAAATAAAATTAAGTTTCATTACTTTATGTTTCATTATAAATTATTATTATTATTATTATTATTTAAACTTTTAAATAAAAAATAAGTGTCATTACTTGAAGTAACGATGATACTTTCTTTTATAATATTAAATCATCATTGCTTTTAGTTATATTCCCTTAGGAAAGACAAAGTCCATTGCAATTAGATAGGGAATTATTCCTCATTTACTAAACACTCATTCGATAACTTATTCTATTAAATATCACAATCAAATTTTATTATTGGATAATAATCGCATATAATTGTAAAATTATATAATCAATAGCTAAAATAAAATTATAATAAAAAATACTCGATCGATAATAGAATAACTATCATTATTTGCAGAATAATATAATGTTGTAATTTATTCTTCTTTTAATGGTATTATTTTAATTCCATTTCTATTTTTTTAAAATTAGAAGTAACATAATATTGGTTTTATAATATATTTATATCTTGTATTACTTATATAATAAAATATGGTTAATATAAGAACATAATATTCTTTAAACTAAAATGTTATTCATACAACATCTTATCACGTGGTATAAAAATATTCCATAATTAACGCGACATTATGAAATCAGAATTGAAAATAAAAGAATATTGTTTGGAAATAGTAAATAATATTAAAAAATCACAAATACAAATAATAGTTACAAAAATTAAGCAAATTGTAAGGTAATATTATAACCAAAAAAATGAAAAAAATAACAGTGATAAACTAATAGCAAATAAAATTTAAAACAGAAAAATAAAATTAAGAAAAATTTAGTAATAAAACTAAAGTTATATCCATTATTTAAACGTATTTAAACTTATATGTACTATTTTATAATTATTTACGACTTTTACAATATTAAAATATTTCATATTTTTTATCTCCGGATCTATAAGCTGAGTTTAAATATTAAAAATAATAAATATTTATTAAAAAAACTTATTTATTACATTGAAAAATAAAAGTATAATAATTTGTAATTAAAATTTATTATTATTATTAGTTGCTTAAGTTCAACTCTTAGAATTAAGGTTAGTATTATTTTATTAATTATTTTCATAATAATGACATTATTTAACAATTGTTTAACTTTCTAAGCAAGTCTAGTGTCACGTACTGTTATTTCCATATACACTCGGGAAATTATGGTTGGCTAAGATTAACAAACGCATAGAAGATAACATAAGATACTGCTCTTAAAGCATGAACTTGCATTTCGGGAAATCCATCAAATATAAATTAAGTGAAGCATCAAAGCCTGTAACAGATATCACAAACTGGTGATGCCAAATGTGGAGTGCTTAGTTCAACATAAACTATTCTAACAAATTGAAATGATAGCAGAGTTGTTTGCTTCCATACATGTTTTCTAAGTTTCCTTTCCTTCCTTTCTTCTTTTTAAGGAACATTCCTCGGAATAGCCTTAAGAGGGGACAACAAACAGTAACGGCAATCCAAATAACATATATTTATTTGTCAATTTCAGTTAAGTGCTAATAATAAGAATTGCTTAATGTCAATAATATTATCTACAAAGACAAAAACACAATGACTAAACTATCAATTTGATTCTTGGTGTTTCTAAAATCCATTAAAACAAGCATTAAACTAACTAAATGTCATTTTAATTCTTAATATATACAATTTTCAAATATTTTAAGTTTTATAGTTTCAAGAATTCATCAAATTAAGCGCCGCTGAGGGTTTTTGAAATCAGATTTTATAGCGGCTTTGTTGGAGTTCTCTGAGAAAGATGTTCTAGTGAAGGGGACAAATGTATCATTCTTGGCCTTGATCAACAAGGTACCCAACCCGATAAGTCTAAATGAATTTAGACCAATATCTCTTATTGGTGCAGTTTATAAGACTATAAAAAATTATGGCTAATAGACTTAGTGGTATTGTACCGAAAATAATTGGGCAGCGACAAACAACTTTCATAGGGGAGAGACAAATAATAAACGGGGTGGTAGTGGCAAATGAGATTATCGACGATGCACGGAAGAGGAGGAGGAGATGTGCAATTTTCAAAGTTGATTTTCTTAAAGCCTACGACTCGGTTTGTTGGGAATATCTTCTTGGCAATATGGCAAGGATGGGCTTTTGTCAAAAGTGGTGTAAATGGGTGGAGCTGTGCTTAAAATCGGCCTTGGTATCTGTTTTAGTGAATGGTAGTCCAACTGAACAATTTCAAACGGAGAAGGGTATACGCCAGGGAGACCCAATGTCTCCATTTTTATTTCTGATTACAGCGGAAGGTTTAAGTTTGCTTATCGATAAAGCTGACTAGGAGGGGGCTTGTGTAGGATACTCAGTTGGTGATAGTGGTATTTCTGTATCGATGCTTCAATTTGCAGATGACACACGTTTTTCTTTGAGGATTCGGAGGAGAACATTACCACATTAAAGTGCGTATTGAGGATGTTTGAATTGGCTTCGAGACTCCAAATCAATTTTGATAAAAGTCAACTAATGGGTGTTAATTTGTCAACTGAGAGATTGGGAGAAATAGCAGATTGTCTAAATTGTAAGGTGGGTAATATTCCATTTAAGTATTTGGGGATTCCGGTGGGGGCTCAAGCTCATCATCACGTTGCAACTTGGATGCCTATGTTATAGGATTTACAAAAGAAGTTGGTATAGTCGGAGCATAGAAACTTGTCTTTTGGAGGTAGATTGGTATTGATCAATTCTGTATTGGCTAATATCCCCACATATCTTATGTCAATGTACAAGATTCCAATGAAGGTAATACACATGGTGGAGAGAGTACAAAGAGATTTTCTTTGGGGTTCTTGTCCAATGAATAGGAAGGTGGCGTCGGTTAATAGGAAAAAGTGTGCCAAGCTAAAGAGGTAGGTGGACTTGGTATTAAGAATTTAGGTGCGATGAACAAGGCGTTGTTAGGCAAATAGAGATGGCGGTTATTGAATGAAGAAGGGGAGTTGTGGTATGTGGTTCTTAAGGCCAAATACTATGTTGGTGGTAAGGAGGTGTGGAGAAAGGCTAGGCACGTGTCGGAGTGGTGGAGAGAAATTTGGAGGGTCGATGAAGGGGAGGGAAGTCGTAATGGGTGGTTAGGCAAATTATTTTGTATTAGGACGGGTAATGGAGGTAAGACCAGATTTTGGCATAATGTTTGGAGTAGGGACCAACCTTTGAAACAGGTGTATCTAAGACTATTTCGTTTATCCCTTCAGCAAGGTGATCTTATTAATACAATAGGGGCTTGCAATGGGATTGGATATTGGTCTTGGAATTGGTATTGGAGTCGTCCCTTGATTGATAGGGAGGAAAGGATGAGAATGGAGATGGTGGACAATTTTTCTAACTTTTTTTTTTGTAGGATGTTGAAGATAACTACGATGGCATGGTGACACATCAGGGGAATATACAATCTCGAAAGCACATCAGGGGAATATACAATCTCAAAAGCGTACTTCTTGATGTCTTTGAATCCAAAACAGCAAAAGCACCCAATTCTGTCAACTATGTGGCGCCTTCCCTTGTCGAAAAAAGTTTTTGTTTTTGCTTGGAGGACCATTCTGAACCGCTTACCGTCGTGTGATAATTTACAGCGATGCGGTATTGTGCAGAATACCCAGCTTTGTGTTTTTTTGTGGAGAAACAGAGGAAGTATTGTCTCACTTGTTCCTACACTATAGGTTTTCTAATGTACTGTGGAAGGAATGTATGTCTTGGTGGCAGTTACTGTTAATTATCCCAAGTGAACTGGAAAATTGGTGCTAGTCAGTTCAAGATTTAACTGTTTTTTATGCTTTATTATGGTCACTTTGGTATGAAAGAAATCAACGCATTTTCAACAATAAACAATATGTATCTGCTGATTTGCTGCTTCATGTTAAAAGAGTGTCGTGAGAATGGCTATATTCTAAAGGAAAAATAAAACAGGGATCAAGCTTTAGAGAATGGTGCGAGAATCCTTATCATTGTTCATGATTTATTTCAAGGGTTAGTTGTGGAAATTGCTGAATTCTTCCTATTTTGATGCGTTGCTGCTGTGAGCTGTATCTATATTCATTGTTGATCTGGTATAGTGACCGAATGTGTAGGGGAGCAGTGGTTGGTAATAGCAGGGTGTATTTGTATATATGATTAGGGATTGCAATATTTGCTTATTGACTTGGCATTCACAGGAATTTCATAATTATGTTCCTGCTTATAATATGATACATATTGCTCGGTACAAGTGTTACTAGCTTTCAGTCATATGTTAGGCTAAGCCAGGAAAATCCTGTTTTACTCCCTTGGACTTTCTTTCTTTTTATTTTGGCTTCGGTACTTCATAATAATGTTGTGTTTGTTTTAATGTATTTCTTTCAGTACTTCTGGTACCAGTTTTAGTAAAAATTCTATTATTGCTGATAAAAAAAAAAATTTAAACAAATGTCATTTTAGTATTCAACATATAATCATTAATTATTTTAGTTATTAATATATATATATATATATATATTAGTTGTTCTAATAGACAAACTGACTTAACATATACGTGTTAGTTAATAATGTCATGTGATATTTAATAGTAACACAATAAAGTAACATATCTTAAAATTTATTTTTCTCAAAATTTGTTAATTTAGTTTTAAAATAATCTCTAAACTTAAAATTCTATAAGGACTAAATTAATTGATGAAATAGTTTTTACACCATTATTAAATACTGTGTATTATGTTTATATAGCACTTAATATGTCAAGTCTAATTAATAATTGCATGCATTAAAGATTAAAATAACAATTTATTTAGGTTAAGAACTATTTTGATGAATTCTCAAAACTTAAGGAAATACAACCTCCAGCTTTAAAATACGGTGGAGAACCGTCTATACCCAGATTCTCTAGCTTTCTTAATTTTAAAGATGATGATCATGAGGATATATCCCTAGTATTTTTGGTTCATCCGCCGTTCTTCATAAATTGATTGAACAACAATAGGATTTAAGAAGGTAAAACTAATTTAAGAATACACACATAGAACAAATATAGATTCACAGAATAAACACATAATTAACATAGGAGAGAAAGCAGTAACTCACATAATCAGTTAATCACCTAGGTATCAGCATGTTGCATACTAAAACAAAAAGCAAGATCAGCAACCAAGAAAAATATTAGATCAACAGATCTTTTCATTTTCTTTTAGAAATCGTTGTGGTCGGGCACATTGATAAAATGTTATATTATTTTAATTATAGAATTATGATCTATTCATGGATTAGCATTAATTAATTATTTAGAATATATTTAAATTATAAATATAAATTATATAAACTAATATATTAAATATAAACATCAAGTTTAATCAATTTAATAGTAGATAAAAATGTGCCATGTGAATAAGCATATAATTATAGATTTGATTTTTTAACTACGTTAGCCACTTGAGGTACTTTACAAGAAATATTTTTGTGAATTAATAATGAGTCACCTATTTCCAATGTGAATTACATGCCGCGCGCTAGACTATGTATATGAATTAGTCCCACCATTTTAAATTGATTAAGGAAAGTAAATTATCTTAATTTATACGACAGTTTTATTACATTTATTATTTAATTAAAAGAAAAAAATATTTAATTAATATAGTAAAATAGTACTTAATATTAAAATATTATTTTCGTTAAAATGGATCTTAATTTAAAATGGAGAGAGTAAAACTAACATAAATATATATCACCCATCCTAGAAATTCTGATGAAAGAATGTTTTCCGTGTTGTTCATTATGCTTCACAAATACATACGAATATATAAGATGGTTACAACGGAAGAATCCTTAAGATTGGGCAATACAAATCAAATATATCTCCTAAGATTACTCCTATACAAATGATTTACAAGATTGTAGACTAATAATATGGAAACCATATTCCACGTTGATTCTGGCATGATTTAATCCTAATATGCTATTATCACATCATAATTCTCTTTATAAAGGCCCTTATATAAATATAATTTTAATTTATGGGATAACTTCAAATTTTGACCATTTTTATTTTGCAGTGACTATCAAACAAGCAACGTTTCAAATTTTTAACAAAATTATTTCCGACATGTCCCTTTTTTTAATGTTAACTAATCCATGACTCAAGCATTGTCTTGCAGTTAGCTTTGGACCAATTTATGAGATTCCTATTTGTCATGTGAATGGTCCTCCAGAATGGATCCTGAATTGACTTTTAGCGGTACTCATTTCTCATTATCTATGACTTATATTAAGGACCTCTTTTTGTTAAAGGTTGTATTAGAAGTTTCTTTATTCTTAATTGCAAGCCTACGGAATTAAAAATATATATTGTTATTAATTTAATTTTAACTGATCATAAAAGTAAAAAAAAAATTAATAATGAAAATTCAAAGTAACCTCTCTTGTCTTTAAAGGACTTCAATAGTTGATATTTGACCTGTTACATACTGAATTCAACCAAATCATATTAAATAAACACCACTCAAGCATCTTATTTGGGGACTAGGGTCACAAAAAGAATAATCCTCCGAATGATCCTTTAGCTTTGCCAGCATAGTAATTAAATATTATATTTTGTTGGTTGCAATCCATAGATGGTTTTGTTAAACAGGTGAAGAGGGAAAAACAAAAAGAATGTGGGGGCTGAACAGCGACTTTATAGCTACTTAAAAACGATTTACTAGAGAGGGTACCGCTATAATAATGTGACCTTGTTTGCCAATTCATCTAATTTTAGGTGTCTGATAAATTCATTGCAGTTATAGTTATGTATAATTATGATCGTTAGATATATTATTAAAAAATTAATAAACAAGATTAAATAAGGAAAACCTGAATAATAAGTGATAATTCCCATATAAAATGGTTAAGTTGTTGACATATTGCAAATGAATCTGAAGGAAAAAAGCGAGTCATCACCCCCAATACTGAACCTGACCAGCTTGCAGTCGTTGAAACGACACTTGCCAGAAGAATAGTGGCAACCATTGACCATCCAAATGGGTTAATAAGACTTTATAAATATTAAAACTTCTTTTTTTATGCTAATTTTTGAAATTGGATTAAGCTTTGGTGTAAACTTGAAGTTTCCTGTCACTAGATATTCCATTTTTTAATATTTATAAAAATTAAAGCATGTCTCTAACTTAAAATGATTAAGTTAACTAGATTTTACATTTCTTCGTTTGCAACTATTGTGTCACAACTTACTATCGTTTAAATTATGCCCAATCACAGCATATTTCAAAAATTTTGGAACCACCACAGTTTTTAACCTTAAATCCGAAATCATAAATTAATAATAATATAATATATATGTATTTTTGTAAAAATATAATAACGTACATGTGCTTTTGGACCACCGAAAGATTATGTAAGATTCGAATTTATGATACCACACATATAAAATACTAAAATTTACAGAACAAAGAGTACGTAGCTCTCTTAAACTATTTTATTTTTTATAAATAGATATATTAAACTATAATTATATATTTATTATTTCTTGCATTTTATTTTTTTACAATTAAACACCCTAAAATTTAATTTAATTAAATTTTAAATATTATTAATTTAGTAAATAGACACCTTAATTTTTTTATTAATTCTTATATTTTTCACACTTTACAAATAACTTCTTCTATAAATTAAATTAGAGTTAAATTTATCATATAAAAATAATATTTAATCATTTTTTTTACCTTGATACTCAATCGTTCAATATCATTATTATATTGCAATTAAATCTTTTCTAAACATAATAAGAATTATAAATTCAAGAAAAAATACAACAAAGAAGAATAATAAAAAATTGTATAATAAATATATATTATATAAATAAGGTATTATTCATCTATATAGTTTTCTACTTTGTTTTTGTCTTAAAGTTATTACTATTATATATTATTTTATTATTTTTAAATGGTTTGTTCTTGAGTTTAAAAATTTATTAGGTTTTGATGTTTAAAATAACAGTACAACAAAAATAATTAATGAATACTAAGATTCAAGGTAAATAAATAGTTAAAAAATTTCTTGTTTGTTATTTAACTCATTTAATTTATCAGATTAAGTATTTGTAAAATGTGTAAAGTTCATTTTAAAGATTAACTAAAACAAAATTAATGTTTAAGGTGTCTATCTATACAATTAATAAATTTGAAGAATCAATTGAATTAAAAATAAAATTTAAAATATCTAATTGCAAAAATAATAAAATTAAAGAATTAATTAAATTTAATATATCAATTTTTAAATAAATTAAATTTAAGGAATTGAATTTTATTTTATTTTAAATAATTTTATTTTACATAAAAAAATATAAAATTATTGTGCTGAGAAATGAACTAAAGTAATTAATGCAACTATAAACAAGTCCATTGGCCGATTTGGATCTACAATTATAACCACTAATTAAGATTTAAGAAAACAGACACGAGTTGATAATAGGACCGTCAAAATAGTGACGGTGCATGTTGCCAGTTAGTACCAGTTAATGAATGACAATTGATGTTACAACTTTATATATATTACTTTTCACATTTTTTAAATAAGTAAAATAAATATAACAAATAATTTATG